CCTTCTTGGCAACCAGGGCACACTGCTGGCTCATGGTTAACCTGTCATCCACTAGGACACCCAGGTCCCTCTCCGCAGAGCTGCTCTCCAGCAGGTCCACCCCAAGCCTGTACTGGTGCATGGGGTTGTTCCTTCCCAGGTGCACTCCAGTCTGCTCCTGTACTGGCCTCTTCTGTTCTCATTCTTCAGCTTCTCACTGCATTTTTCCCAGCAGTTCCAGGTGCCATCTCGGAGGTCCTCATCTTCTTTTCTTTGCCCAGATATAATTCTTAATTCACCACCCAGTCTCTTTTTTTCTTTTCTAATCATAGTCTGTCCTTCCATTTTGCCCTTTTTTAGCTTCTTCATACTCTTAATCACAGCCTCTCTGTCCTTCTTAAACCAGGTTTCGTTCTTTGAAATAATAATCTATTCTCTTCTTCTACCATACCTGGCCCTTCACCTGACTGCACCTTGGTTCAAAAAAACCAAAAAAATCCCAAAACCCTGGATAAAGGGACAAACTTGCAATTTAATCAGGCTTTTTTTGAGACAGTTGCCTTTGGTAACAGAGGAGCAACCTTTCTCTATATGTATCAATCTCCACTCCAGATAGAGTTTCCAGGTTGAATATTGGAATTTCCCGTACACTTTTTCCTTTGTTACTCTTTTTTTTTTTTTATTTAACACAGGAAGAGGAAAAAGGAGCACTCTTCTTTCGCCTCATGCTTGGAAACATCTGAACAATTTTAATTAAAGCTTAAGGAAAAAAAACCATGAAAGATCCCTCACAAAGTTTTAGGCCAGTCATTAGTATCTTACATAATTTAGCATTTGCAAGGAAATTCTTAAAATAGGAAATATTAGCTCTAATTGAGTAACTTCAACCACAGCAATATAGTGATGAGGAAGGAAGAACACACAGATCCCAGCATTTTCCATCAATATAATATACATCTTACAGAATGCACTGTCTTTATCAGAAACTGCATTTAAAAATTTCCTCCCTTTTCACTCCCTACAGCTCCAGGGCAGAATCAACTATAAACTTGGCAGGTTTTTTTCTGGGTTACAGAGTTTCCAGTCATGGAAATCTGTAGAACCAAACCAGGTACTTCACTCCAGAGCTGAATTTTCTCATTAACAGCCTGTTTTCCTTCTTGATACCTAACCTGAGAACACCTTACTGCAATTTAAATGTACTGTTTCTTACCCATCTATCTTGGACACAGGGAACAAATTATTCTCTTCCTTTCTGCAGCAGCCATTCCTGCCTTGGAAGACTTTTGTTCCTTCACAGTCTTCCTTTCTCTGCCTACAGAAGTCTGACTTCCCTGTTAGATCATATTTTATAGATCCCTGATCATTTCAGTATCTCTGCTCTAACTGGTCTGCATATTTCTTTAAATGATTGCTGCACACAATATTGCAGAAGCAGCCTTCAACAGCCAAGAACAGCCGATACTGAAAGCAAAACAAGAATAGAATTCATACTTTTTAAGGAGAAGTAAGGAAAAAAGAAAATTTAATTCCAATTCAGGTTTTCTTATAGCACTGTAGTCTGACAGGGCCATCAATTTTCAAGCATTTAACTTGGCGGCTGAGTATATTTTATACTCACTCTGTGAGTATAAAAGCCAGATTGAAGTATTTATGCATCATGGCAAGAAGATTAGACCTTTATTATTGAATAGTGTCAAACAAACTTCAGCACCTATTCATTTGCAAAATATCTTGATGATTACGGTCACTATATATAGTGAGGCAATCTCATAAAAATGTCACTTTCATAAATTTCTGAAATACAAATCCACATCTAGGTCGCAAGATCTTTTCTGGTTACAAAAGTCTACGCTGCGCACCATATTGAAGTTAAATACAAAGCTACTTATTCCCTGACAACTGAAAGCAAAAGATTTACAGCTAATTTACTGTCCTAAGCTAAAGGAAGTCCAAAGTGGCCAATCTTACTACATTTCAAAAGAGTGATCTAAGGAAAGACAAGTGGCAATATTCCCCTTTTCAATTCTGCGGGGAGAAGACATGCTGTATTTTTTTTCCCCAAGGATTATAGGACAATGAAACCTGTAGAGGCTGCCTTGCAAACAGGCATTGTCAGTTGGCCCTTTCCCAACAGTTTAGTGGGTTCTTTCTGTCCTTGGGCAGTGACAGAAACAATTGCAGGAAACTACTTCTGTCCTCCACTCATGAACAGCCAAATGCCCCTCCTACCAGGCTTCCCTCTTCCAGGGTCTTCACTGTAGTGCTCAACAGGACTTAATCCTTAATTTATTCTATCATTTCATAATGGTTTGCTGAAATTTACATTTAGTGACTCTCATCCTCAGTTTCTACTCCTCACTTGATAGCCTTCGCTAAACAGGGGTGAAGGAGCTATTATAATCTTCTGACCCTTCAAAAGGGGTCTAAAAAACAGACAGCTCTTCAGACAGAGCTCATCATTCGTGTTATCAAAATCAGTATCTTCTTTTTTGTCTCAAGATGGACATAGAAAATCACTGGTAACATTTGAAGTTTTTGGTTTTGTTACTGAAGAAAAACTTTTGCTTTTTATCCAACGTAACAGAGTATCACTTAAAGACACTTCTTCCCACTGTAAATATCTACCTATAAAAGAAACAGCTTCTAAAACCTCCGATTACTGCTAGAAGATATGATACATGAAGAGTCAGTGGCATACAGACAGGATCAGCAATAATAATTCCATAAAAACATGCTCTTGCAATAACATAATTTCAATGCATTGCTACAGAATAAAAATGCACATTTGCAAAATACAACATACCGCATTTCCCATCATGGTGTAGGACTTCCCAGATCCAGTCTGTCCATATGCAAACACACAAGCATTATAACCTTCAAAAGCAGATTTAAGCACATCTGTACCAAGATTTTTGAAAACCTAAATACAAAGAAAGTTTTCTCAGACAACTGAAGCTTCGGGGAAAAAAAGCTGTAATCAGTTATCAGTCCAGCATGGCAAATATTAAACAATAAACTACCACAATATAAGCTACTGGTATCAACCAATGATATTTACTATAGGACAGGAAATTAGTACTTCAAATAAAATACTAAAGTGTACTGCTGTATTTAGTTTATAGCACTGAATAGTATATTTTCCACTTCCTTTTCTGTCAGAGATCTACTTGATGTGCAGAAGTACAAAAAAATGCTCCCTTCTTTCTATGGCTCCAATTTCTTTTAGCTAATCTCAAATACTTCCTTCACTACTTCTCATCATTAATACCTCCTCACTTTTGCATCTCTGTCAACACTGTATGTTCTGCAAACCCCCAGCCTCTTCTCAAAAGGAAATGTTTCAGTGGTCCTGTCAGTTTCTTGGTTTGTGTTTTTGGAGGGTTTTGTTTGTTTGGTTTGGTTTTTTTGCTTTAACCAAGTGTAAGAAAATGGCCCATTATTTTCTCCATATTTCCTCTCTAACGGGCTTTCACATACCATTACTTTTTAGGCTGGCAAACCTGGAAACATGTTTTCTATATGGTAAACTACCCTCTTTCAGCTAGCCCCTTCTCTCTTGCCCTCAACATTTAGAAACTAGTAACAATCCCTCCTCCACGCGCATAATATGGGAGTCTGTTCTCACCCAGCTCTCACCAGATGCCTGCACCATCTTCGTCTGCAATACCGGCTCCAGTATCCCTCTCAGATTCCTGACCTTTCATTATCATTACCCCCCCATTTCCATCCACACACCCACTGGGCAAGTAACACTTCATGCAGAATTTATCTAAATTAAAACATTAATCTGGGTCTCTCAATTCAGACATGATTTTAAAAAATTTCATAGATGCTTCACATAATTTGGCTACTAGTCTGCAGTATATGTTAGTCCGTAGTGTATGTGATTTAAATTAACCAAGGTGTACAAGTTATTATTAACAGCAAATGGCACACACACAGTGTAATCACGCTACTCCTCTCTGGAGGAGTGTTGGGTCATTTCTTTAATCATTAATGCTCAGCTGCAAGTATACCTTTGGAATACTTAACCTGACCTTCTCTTGAGCAAAAGATTTACAATGCTGTAATCAGTTACACTTATCAAAGAGGAAGAGTATAAAGATCAGCAAAAAGACAATTTCCCTTTCATATATCATTTGAAAAGAAGCATCTCAGTTGAATTCTCCCTTCTGAGTAACTGTTCCTTTACTTTCTTTCCCTCTCTTTTCCCTTTCCCTGTGTGCAAGTTTTCCTCACCATCTGGACCAAGTCTTTACACACTACTGTTTTGACTGCACTTTTCCTTTTAAAAATTCATATATATCTTGCAAAGTGATTTGAGGTAGTACACAGGGCAGTTACAGTCGGTGTCTGAACACAGAGGCTTAACACACACGTTAGAAGTCATCGTTAGGATGGGACTTTGTCAGAACCAAATGACTGGGACACTGCTTTACCACAAAAGGGCAGTAAACTCATCAAAATTCTACTTGTTTCTCTTCCATGAATATAAACTAAGTAGCTTGATGGTAAGTTGCCACTCCTGCTCTAATTTTTGAATACTAAAGCATATTTTGCATCTACAAGGCATATTAATGGGGCACGCAGTATTAGACAGACTTCCATTTATTATTTTTCGGCCTTTCAAAAGGAAAAATATAACAATCATGAACAAAGTGCACTAGGCAACTGCATTCCCAACAATCAAGATCAGTTTTGTTCCATGGCAAGATGAATGTGAAAGACATCCTTCTTCTATGCCACTGGTGCAGTGAACTGGAAGTTCTGCAGCAACTTGATAAAAGCTTAACTACAAAGTCTTCCAAGTAAATATGAAATGAATAACACAAGTGAAACAATAGCTTGTGCAGCATTTGTTTAGAAATCGCACTCCCATAGTTTGAAAACTCCTTTTCTTTTCAATGTGCTGTGCACACTGTAATTAAAACAACACTTGACACAAATATTTTTGTGTTTGAGCAAGAGAAGTTAGCTTTCTTGCCAGTAAGGATGAAGGAAGCAGTCTGCGGTTGTGGGGCATACTGTAATAGCAGAATATTGAAGATGGACATCTAAGCCATGTTTCAGATTTATTGTTAGCATCCTATTACTATGAACCATAAAGCTCACACCTCAAGGCTGCTGCAGAAAATTCCTATATGGGCATTTTTGTTGATTTTTTTTTTTCTCCCCACCCGTAAGCTCCTGACACAGGTAAGTTATACTGATCTTACCTCAACCTGAGTTTTAAGTAAGGAAAAACTTAAAATAAGAAAAACTTAATTTATCATTTATATGTGGAAATTGGACATCAACACAGGATACAACTTGGATATCCGTTTACATTCATTCATGTTTCCTTTGCAAGTGTCTGTTTTAACAAGAATTAACTTTGTTATTTCACAGCACATGCTGATTCTGGAAAAAAAAAACTGCACTGTAACAGCAACAGCCTAACACCACAATGGACTGTCTTCCTGGTATTCTTCTAATGAGTTCTTGTCTACCGTAGCTTTCCAGAAGTATCTGAAGTCAGGTAAGAAAACAGCTACATAAAGGATCCAAGAATTAAATATCCATAAACCTAAGCCACAATTAGTGCTTATGAAGAATTTCTGTAACTACTTTTGTAGTAGATTTTGAAGACTTTTACAAAAACACATTGATACATCATTAATACTGTTTTATGGAGATGTTCTTATCTGTATCAGGAAGAACTGAGAACAATGTACTCAGTCATCACTGAGAATTATATGTATTTTCATGAAACTAAGTAATATTAAACTGAGACTCTAATAGATTTATATGAGCAAACTTAAGACAATCATTTGCCACGTCTGCAGAACCACAACCAAAAATCTCAAGCTTCGGTTAGAATTGGAGCAGAACAATACATGATCAAAGTTGCTTCAAACAAAATAAATAAATAATCATCTGCATACTCAACTTCAACAATTTGCTAAAGTTTTAGTAAAGCCATATGGCCTGAACCACCTGCTTAAAAACATCCACTAGAAACTAAGGTTCAAATTATTGCCCTCAAATACACTACCTCTTGAATTTGCAACAGTGCTAAAGTAATTACGGTGTTTCTACAGCAACGCCCAAATAAACATATAATTCTTGCTATTTCAGAGAATATAGCAAAAAATGTGTTACTTCAAAGAACATCACCAAAAAAAGCAATCCAGAAAGTTTAAGGACATACATGATCAAAAGTTTGGACTAAACACTAGCTAACTCAGTGAAATAAAGAAAAAAGCTTTCAGAAAAAAAAGAGGACCTACTGCTTACACAGATGGCTAAACAGAAATTTCAAGTATAAATTCCCTATCAAATAATTACAGTCATTATATATAATGGCAAAGCTTGTCCTTGTCATAAATACTTCAAATTGGCTTCAACTTACTGTTTCTTATTATTAGTTTTAATTCTGAGGCTTTTTAGAATTAGCCATATCAGTATCCCTGATTATGAGGGTTACAGAATAGATGAGGTACATACCAAAAAGATACTTCTCCAACTGGATTACAGGGTATTTGGCAAACCCTTGCATTATTTGAAGGGGAAAAACATACTCTCACTCTGAGCTTATGGCATCCCAAGTCCCACAAAACCAAAAGAGAAGACAGCAATCACAAAACACCTGAATTTTACTTAAGAAATTTATTTGGGAATGTGGAATAGCAAAAAGGTTCAATGTTCACATGAAATGTGAGGTCAGGGAGGGTCTGTCTGTGCATCTAAATAATGCCTGTAGCTCTGAGTCTGATTTCCTGTTCTGAGCATGCAGGAAGAAAGGCAGTTTTGTCCTTTCCTAAGCTGAATACTCCAGGGAGGGGAAGGAATAATCTTCTTCAATGTGTACCAAGACTTTTGGAGAGAAAACCCCCACTTCAACCACATAAGAAGAATGTTTCTGTGTAAGTGAATTAAAGATATATGCTTGCTTCTCAAAAGTGATTTTTTTTTCAAAAAAGCTTTTCAAAAAGAAATTTAGTGCTCAGAATAGTTTGCTAACTTGATCTTACAAGACAAATCAGATAAGAGAACTAGAAAGAAAGCATTTAGCCACCTGCATTAGAAAACACAGCACATAATATTAGATATTTAAAAAAAAAAAAAAAAAATCACATTCTCAGGTACCTAGGGAATTTCTAAATTACACAAGAAGCACTTTCACTGGAAAGTGGTTTCAAAGAATGCTTTCAAGCCAAATAAAAGGGAAAGGAAAAAAATCAATTATTAACATCCAGAAATCCTACCATTTCTTGGCAAACAAAGTTGGGACTTTTACTGTCTGCTGAGAAATAGGAAAAATCATAGGTAAATGTCTTAGTTCTTTCTCGCCCTGTGTCTCCAGTACCACCCTCTGGTACCTATTAAAAAAAAAAAAAAAAAAGACACACAGCTGGTACAATACATACTGATGAAGTAATTAAAAACATTTTACCATTTTACAACAAATAATCAGAATGCAAGATTAACATAAGGCTATTCACTTTTAGAAATTTATAACAACAGGTTGGCCTATTGTTCCAACAACAATGAAGAAAACAGCAACAGATATACCCTTCAGCAAGGATTGTCAGGTTACAAGACAGCACAGCAGCAATTATTTGGATTTTAGCTTATTGCTCCTAACACTGCACCACATTTTTGTCACAATACTTACACTCACTTAAATCAGTCCTGTATATGAAATTCAGATTATAATAAGGGATTATCCTACACATATAATTAATAGGAGGCAAAGAGACTTCTGCACTGCGAACAGCATTTCAATGTGGAGTCGTAAATAAAACGGTGTTACCTACCTGGTACCTAAGGCTATCATCAGGCTCAAGACATGACAGTTAGCACTATACTTCAGCAATACTCACCGCTATCTGAATCCATCTAAACAAACTACATACTGAAATTCCTTTTCATGTATTTTTCATTGGAAACCATCCTGCAAAAACCTATTTGCTGTGCAAGATTTCTCTTGCTGAGATAAATGTTAAAAAACATCATGAAAATACTATAGCAAGTGATGGGTACTTTGAGTTTCGCTCATTTTCATGGGAATGCCTGAACACTTCTACAGATGAAGCAAAGGTTTAATAGCTACCAGACATTTACCTCTCTTCTATTGTTGGCCTTCATCTTCCAGCTAAGTAATGACCAGAGAGATAAACCTTAGAAAAACCTATGAGATACAGTCTGTAGTGGCTTTCAGAAAACCACAGTGCAGCAAGTTAACACTTTAACCTGTTTCCCCTAAGGACTAATTCAACACTGTATTTTAAAAAACTAAGGGCTGTTCTCCACAGTGCAGTGAGCACCACTGTTTTGTCCAATCATATGCTGGAAGCTGTTCAGTTAGGACTTCCTCTTTTAAACTGTGTTTACTCACCTTTAAGTTTGTGATTGTCGTTTTGTTTTCCTCCATTGAAATAATAAACTTTGCATTAAGGTCTTTCTCCCTGAAAGAAAAATGAGACCAGAGTATACTAAATAAAACATATCATAATAATCCACAGTCATGTTTCCACTCACTAGGTTGCTTGCCAAGTCAATTATCAAGTGAATTAATTTTTATTTCATTTTTTAATTGTTGGGAACAATATTTGTTTATTGCTATGGGATATATTTGCAGTACTTGGGCTTGCCTCCAAATCCCTTCATCCAGAAACAGAGCAGCAGCTTGGGGAAACCTGCTTCAGAAGTTTGACTCTGCAAGTCAGCTAAGTGGTTTGTTCTTAATTTGAAGTACTCTGATTCAAAGCCCAGTAAAGTCAATTACATGGCTCTCAGGAACTGCAAAACAGAATGTTACAAGATAAGCCCCAGCCTCTTACCACCATCCTAGTAGCAGCAATTCCCATTTACCCATATAGCCTAGCTAACAGGGACTAAATATTTAAACCATAAAACCTCAGTATTTCAAAACTCTCTTACAAATGAGGTACACAACGTAATTTTTGAGCTGTGATGCATGGCAGTGCAGGATAGACTCTTGCTACCAAGGGAGTGTTACAAAGGTTTGTTCCTTCTCAGAGCACGATTCCAGGAAGAAAAAAAGTCCAGTTCTGCAGCAATGTTTTCATGCACCCACATCTATTTCACATCAGTTGTTTCTGACTGTTTTCAAAGCTATCATAAAAAATTGTTAGCTTAGTATCTAAAACCAGCATGTATCAATCTGCTTGCTAGAGATGGGATGTCATTGTAGTTAGTTGCAAGGATAATACAGGCTGCTCTTGAATGACAACCTTGACTGCAACATCTCCTGTGTTATTAAAAACACGCACATGAAAAGAGCAGCCAGAAGACGATGACTGCTATATACACCATACAAAACCTCGGTCTTCAAATGCTAACAGACACGCCTGTTCCAAAACCATCTGCTAAGTCACCTGAAAAACTGGTGTGCTCGACTGGTGTAAAGAAGGCTTTAAAGCAATGAAGTTCTGCATTATCATATTGCACGGTATCTCAGTAATTACTGCATATCCTCTTGCACCAACCAAAAATGAAAGAAAGAAACTTCTTCCTACTAACAGGAGACCCATGTTCAGATTTCAGTGCAACATTTTCTTCTCCATGGTGCACTGGATCACCCAGCTCTGTTCCTCAGCTGACCACGCAGCTATCCTCTATTCAGATTCAGTTTTCCAGCAGAATCATAGAACGTTAAGGTTGGAAAAAACCTCTAAGATCATCAGATTAAACTGTCAACTCAACAACACCACGCCTGCTAAACCATGTCACAAAGTGCCACATTTACACGTTTTTTGAACGCCAGGGATGGTGACTCAGCCAACTCTCTGGGCAGCCTATTCCAATGTCTGACCACTCATGCAGTAAAGAAATTTTTCAGACAGAAAAGTTTTTCAGAGTGCTCCCTCAGTAAGCTTGCAGATGACACCAAGTTGGGTGGGAGTGTCATTCTGCTCGAGGGTAGGAAGGCTCTGCAGAGGGATCTGGACAGGATGGATCGATGGGCCGAGGCCAGCTGTATGAGCTTCAACAAGGCCAAATGCCAGGTCCTGCACTTGGGTCACAACCACCCCATGCAATGCTACAGGCTTGGGGAGGAGCGGCTGGAAAGCTGCCTGGTGGAAAAGGACCCCTGGGTGTTGGTCAACAGCCGGCTGGACAGGAGCTAGCAGTGTTGCCCAGGTGGCCAGGAAGGCCAACAGCATCCTGGCTTGTATCAGGCATAGGGTGCCCAGCCGGGGCCGGGAGCAGACTGAGGAATGGCTGAGGGAGCTAGGGCTGTTTAGTCTGGAGAAGAGGAGGCTGAGGGCGGACCTTACTGCTCTCTACAACTACCTGAAAGGTGGTTGTAGTGAGGCAGGTGTCGGTCTCTTCTCCCAACTAACTTGCGATAGGACAAGAGGCAATGGCCTCAAGTTGTGTCAGGGGGTGTTGGGCGGATGAGTGGACTTGATGATCTTAGAGGTCTTTTCCAACCTATGATTCTATGATTCTCCTGGATTATGGGAGGTTTATTCTGCTCTCTTTCGCTATCTTCCAACACTGGGGGCTGACTACCCTGGGAATAACCTATCTCACTACTAAAGATTGAGGCAAAGAAGGCATTAAGTACCTCAGCCTTTTCCTCATCCTTGGTGGCAATACTGCCCCCCACATCCAGTAATGAATGGAGAGTCTCCTTTGCCCTCTTTTTGTTGTTCATGTATTTGTAAAAACATATTTTGTTGTCCCTTACAACAGTGGCCAACCTGAGTTCTACTTGGGCTTTTGCCTTTCTAATTTCCTCTCTGCACGACCTAACGAGACCCCTGTACTCCTCTTGAGTTGCCAAATTCTAAACTTTGAAATTCTAAAGAAAAGCAAAACCCATTTTTAAAACTGCATTAATAAATAAAGACTAGACAAATAAAAGTGCTTATTTAAATATCAACACATTAAGTTATTTTCCAAGCTAATAAAATATATAATTGAAATAATTACAGCATTAATTATACAACTGAATTAGATGTGCCATAGAAAAACGTTAGAGGCATGCCCTAAGAGATGCCTCTTAGTCATTTCCATGTCATGCGTAGTAGCTTTTACTCGGTCTACACTTCAGAGGCTGAAATACTAAAATACAGCTATGGGTAACAAACAGGGAAACGTAGAAAAAGTTTCCAGTGGTATTTTTTAGTAGGAAATAGATTTTTGACATCACAGTAATGCAGCCTGGATGGCTACCATTTATCCTGCTTCCTCAACAGTCTCTACCTGTCTGTAACTATTTGCTCAGCGAAGGTGTAATAAGTAGTGTGGCCCAATTAAATGGCCTATCTTACTATGAAAATTTGTTTCAAATAGAATTTCTAGCCTGTCTCCTCTAGGAAGTCTGGAAGGACTCTAGGCAGAAGTTTGTGCCACAATTATTGCTTTTTTTGTCTGGATTTCTTCATGCTTGAGGCATATGAGGGTAAATAACAAAATATGTTGGTGCTTTCTTTCTCAGACCTAGCCAGATCTCCATGTTACAAAACCTAAAATTACTCAATAATGGAAAACTGATACAAAATGTTCAAAGTCTAACACGCATATATGAACTACACAAAAATCTGAAAAGCCTACAGTCATTAATTTTTGTGATAGCACTGATAATAGTAGTACTAAACATTATTAAAGAATGCAGATTTCAAAGTAAAAAAAGGCCTTGTAAAGAAATAGTTC